TCATCGCGAACATCGCGATCACAAGCCAGTTGTTGTTGCCTTTCATGCGCAGCTCTCTTTGACTGCGGCCCCTCGCAGACAGCTACGTCCCAATCGTGAAGTTTTATATCAGTGTGTGCAGACGGGGTACAAACGAGTTGAGGTTCTGGAGGCCATGGAGAGACTCGCGGCCAGCAAGATGCAGGAGTTTGGCGAGGCTGGGGTTTCGGGAGATCTGGAGCGCATGAACTCTATCTTCATGGAAGTCCTCAACCAGGCCACCTTAGAGATCCTCCACGAGTCCCCGTTATACACCGAGAGCCACAAGGAGCACCTAGAGGACCTTAAGAGGCTACTAGCAGAGCGTAGGGAGCTCCGAGGGGCTCAACGAGATGACGCAGAGCACACTGAGAAGATCAAGCAAGTGAGCAAGCGCATTCGTGAGCATAGTCAACAGCATTGGCATGATATTCAGCAACGCAGATGCCAAGAAATTAGACACGCAGCAACATCCCAAAACAATTACCTTGTGCAAAAACTTGCAAGACTAATAGCAAGCCGACACAGGGGACCCCGCCAGCGTAGGTTCGCAGCAGTGCCTGGATCGGCGGTTTGTGCCGCTAGCTGGGCTCGCAAGATGCAGTTGGCTCCCCTGCTCGGAGGTTGCTCGGCTGTTGTGAAGGCGCCTGAGGAGGTTTCACAAGAGGTGCGAGCCGAGGACCGCCCGCACATGGACTCGACTGAAGCGTTGTACAAAGCAGCAGAAGATTGGAACCTCTTGTCTAGAAGTGTTTGGAAGCTACGTTTCTGGCGCACATGGCCCCAGTGGAGCACTCCTCCAGAATGTCTGCGCCTCGTGCTGCACCCGAAGTGGACGAACGATCGCAAGCCGGCCCAGCGACATGGAGTAGGTTATGATGACGAGTTTCCGAAGATTACCCAGACACGAGATATGTTGCTGGGCCTGCTGCGAGCAAGTCGATTACATGATAGACACCCAGTTTCATGGCACAGCGCGCAGGCGGCACGCACACCCAAGCACAACAGCAAGTTAGACACAGAAGGGGAGCGCATCATCATGGTCATGTGCACGCTTGGGCGCGCGTTTCATGGTGCTGCACTAGCAAGGAAGGACCCCCAATGGGACCCTCCCAACTGGATGCACGGAGGCCTGAGGAGGAGGAGGAGGGAGACGGCAATGGGGGTGCAGATGGCAGGCAGCTACAGAATGCAGGCAGCAGGTTTTTCGCATCTACAGCGATGTCATGACGCTACGAACGCTTATTCCACAGTACGGCACTCGGCCATTTTAGAGCGTATGGACTCCTGCTACGCGCCAGAGGACCGCTCCTTCATTAGAGATCGCATTGTAAACAACACCTTTCTATTAGAAGATGAGACGGGGTCCTTCTGGCAGCAGGGCAAGAGTGGTTTGTTCCCAGGAGACGCTGGAGCCACGCAGCTTTTCTGCCGCACGTACTCAGAGCCAGTGCTGGAGTGTTTTGCGGACCTTACGGTCGTCAAGCATTGGTTCCTTTTCTTAGAAGCTGCCCTCCCGTGGGATCCCGAGTGGATGGGGCAGTTCGCCATGACAGGATACGTAGACGATATAGCTAACAAAGTTCTGGAGGAGGGGGAGGGCAACATGGAGGAGGCTATCTCACGTGGGAGTATTTTGGAAAATCAAGCATTGGACGAGGGGCTTGGGGAGGTGGGAGCAGGGCAGAACACCAGCAAGCAGGAGAATATCTGCTACCTCAGAGGCCGTGGGGCCCGTCAGTTACAGCGTAGGCTTTGCAGCGGGGAAGTTCGGGGAGTCGCTGGCCGCACTCTTCATCATTGCCGCTATTTGGGCGGCCTACAGGCCGCGACTTACGCCCCAGGCCCCGAGCTGCACAAGAAATTGAATGCAGTTAAAGCGGCGTTTCACAGCATGGGCAGGTTTTGGTATTCTGACTCGCCGCTGTCTATAAAGCGCACACTCGTCAAGGGGCTCTTGGTGAATACTGCTTTGTCGGGCATGGAGGTTGTCGTCCACGGTTCTGGGCCCCTTCGAGAAAATGGTATCAGGCATCTCCAGGGTTTCATCATCAAGAAACGCAGGGCGAGTTTATCTGGCACCTCGGTTTGGGACACACAAGCACAGCACGAGCGTGCGCTACCCCATCATGAAGTCCTGAAGCGGTTTAAGCTTGCTCCTCTTCTTCTCGAACTCCGCATACGGAGGCTAAAATGGTTACAAGAGATGGTTTCACGAAAAAAGGATAACGCACAGTATTTGGCAACGGTTTTCGGCAATACGAGATTCGACGATCAGATTCTCAACGAAGACGGCCGCGTGGCCGACTCAGCCAATCCTTGGGCGCGTCAGGCGCAGGACGATTTAGACAGCCTGCAAGAGATAGAGGCTGGCGCAGTATTGTATTCGATGCAGACTCCTTTCGGGTTGTTGTTCCAGGGGCCGACCGACTTTTGCAGCATAGATGTCGGAGAGCTCAGAGCACGCTTCCTCATGCGAGATACAGAGGCTCGTGCAGCAGCCGTTTTGGCAGCTGGTGGAGAGCACCGTTGCTTGGAAGTGCGGGATGACGGGAGCGTATGCAACTCGCTCTGGCCGTCAAAAAACAGTTATATGCGCACATAGCATCGGCAATAGGGGGTTCGCACGGTCGGGCTAACATAGCAAAAGTCGTCACGAACACGAACTACTGCGTTCTATGCGATTCGACGTTTCGAGACACCGACACAGCAAGGCAACGCATTGCAAGCAGTACCAGAAGAAACTATTGCCCGAAAGGTCGTGCTCGCTTCGCCTCGCCTCTCATCGAGCCGAAACTGGAGTGCGTCGTATGCCTCGCTTCCTTCGAGACCGCAGCTGAGCATTTCAAGCACGCCAGAGAACACATCGTGCCACACTTGCTTCCATCCTTTCACACTCGCGAAGCGCAGCCTCCGCGTGATGGAGGCGAAGAACTGGCTAGCAGCACCGCGCCCTCGCGGGTCTCTTCACACCGCAGGGCCGCCCAAGAAAAAAGGGAAAGCCGAGGCAGTGGAGGAAGAGGATCAGGACGAGGGCATGGAGCACACGCTCGGGATCATGCAGAGTCTTCTCGTCCAGCTCGAGGGCAGAGTCAGAACGTTGGAAAACGAGTCGCGCATCACCGTCATGATCAACAAAAAGTCCGACCTTCCAGTGCAGATCCAAGGCTGCTTCCAGCAGTACCTCAAGCGTCGGAAGGAGGACCCAGAGGCCGACCTCGGCCCCCCAGGGTGCCAATGCCTTTCAGGGGCTCTGAGCGCTTTGCTCAACTTCGAGCACAAGGACACCTCGCCGAGGATGCAATCAATGCTCGCGGGGCTGCAGCGCTCGCACGAGATGCTGAAAGCGGGAGGCCCCGACAACGCACGGACGTGGGTGAAGGAAATGATGATGCTGCCGTGCTTCCAGAAGCCAGGGAAAGAACCCAAGGTCCGCATTGTGTTCAGCTGCCGAGGAGAACTCGCGTTGCCACGGGGCCCGACGGACTGCGACAAGATGATGAAAACCATCGCACTGCCAGAGGACGACCTACACCAGCTGCTGCCCACCGAGATGCCAACATCGCACCTGCAACTACGAGGATACCGCACGCCAGTCGAGACGATCATATCCGAGACGATGCGCAGCATGGGAGGCCAGATCATGAGTGGCCGCGCCCCGAGGGGCAATCTAGTCCGACAGCTTGGCCGTGGAGGAGGTGCTAAAGGCAGCTAGGGCGACGTGTCTTTGGCATAGATGATGTTTCTTGGAATGCAGTATCTTGGAATGCAGTATCTACGGAATGCCAATCTGAGTTTTTTTTTGGAATGCAGCATCTGTGGAAAGCAGTATTTTTGGAATGCAGTATCTTTGAAATGCAGTATCCTGGAATGCAGTTTCTATCTATCTGTGGAATGCAGTATCTTTTGGAATGCAGTCTTGATGAGTTCTTTTTGGAATGCAGTATTTTGGAAGGCAGTATCTACGGAATGCCAATCTCTTTGGAATGCAGTATCTTTTGGAATGCAGTGGAAAACAGTATCTGTGGAATGCAGTATATGGGAAATGCAGTATCTTGGAATGCAGTTTCTATGGGATGCATGTCTATCTTTGGAATGCAGTATCTTTTGGAATGCAGTCTTGATGAGTTCTCCTTGGAATGCAGTCTTCTATTATTTTGAGCTGAGCGCTGATCGGCGTTTGCCCCGC